AGTCAAGAAAGAGAGTAAAAGGAGAATTCGGTGATCTCTTGGACAAATCACCCTCTAGGACGCCAAGATAGGTTCAGCTAGGAAGGGGAGGAACAAGGGAAAACAGGAGCTTTTCCCCGTGGACCGACCCGTGACGTGATCCTATTCCCGGGCCCATAACAGGAGCATAGTTTAATTGGACTAGGAGGTCAGCAAACGGTTTGACTGACCTTTAGAAAAGCAAGGGGTTAATAGGGAGACTTTATTTTTTCCATGCTTGTAAGTTGATTATGCTATGAGGGGTCACCTTATTATGGAAAGTGACTGTTCTAATTCTCTTTTTTCAAGTTAAATGAAAGTTACTGTTTCTTGTAACCCAAGAAAGTCTTTTATTTCTCTAGATTTTATTTGTTGTTTTGATTTGAGGAGTTGTGCTACCCCTCGTCTTGTGTAGCTTTTCCTGGAATTATCAAAAAAAAAAAAAGTTGCCCTTTCCTAAAAAAAACAAGAGAGAGAGAGAAGGCTGAATAGGTTGAGGCAGGGAGTCCAAATCTTTGTTTTCAAATAAAGATTGAAAGATTGCAACTTTGTGGTATATGATAAGATGGTGAACATCTCACTTTTTTAACAGTTAAAAAAGAGAGTTGTTAAAAAAGAGAGTTGCTATAAAAGCCTTAAAAAAGGCATTCTGGTGAGCCCCTGATAATACGAGACACCTGATATGGAGCATCATATCAAAATTTTGAACTTTGATTTTATTTCATTAATACACAAATGGGGCACTGCTAGGTATAATGGTAAAATCTTGGGCTGCCAAGCATGAGAATGTGGGTTGTAGTCTGAGAGCAACCACTTTTTGCCCAAAAAAAAGGAAAAAGAAAGAGAAAGATGAAGAAAAAAAAAAGAAAAATACAATTTATCAAAAAAAAAGAAAAAAAGAAAAATACAAAGATTAGGTCTGTATCCAGTCCACCCCTCCCAAGACTACAGATAACTGGGTCCAACATTGGGTAATGACCTTTTTTGATGTTCATCCAAAATTCCAGTTACAATGACTATTTATGGATCAAAGGCTTGCAATTCCCTCTATAGACTCCAAATTCAACTAGGAAACTGACTTAAAATTCCAATTATAGATGCTTTACCTACTATCTCTGGCTCATATTCCATTCAGGTTGCTAAAATTGTATGTATAAAAGGATCTACTTTTTTGCTTATTATTTATCTTCATGGTTGGTAACTGGTACCTGCTTAAGTCCAGCTTCCCACCAACTAACTGATCAAGACCAACAAACAAGCCCCAAATAAAAGGATGAACCAATGAATAGAAAATATAAAGGAACTCATTATGTGGACTTAGGATGCATATTAGAGAGAAGATTTATAATTTTTAGTTTGTTATTGACTTCACCTTCTTGTGTGTGCATTTGTATGTTTTTCATGATTGGGATCAAAATCTAGAAAAATGAGTAGATAGTAAATTTCTCTTTTCTTGTGCTTATTTTGGTTTTTGTAAGTACAAAACATTTATTAATTTGTTCCTATGAATGGTTAATTTCTTGTTTTCTGTGAAAAATGATAGTGCTTTGTGTTTGCTCTTGGACATGCAGGTTAGACTGGATCCTTCCAGGCCATTGAGCAAACGAAAGCATTGGGTCGTTGCTGAGATTCTTAAAAAAGCACGCATCTATGTTCCACCCTCGGCTAAATCTTCTGAGTCAAGCACCAATGCATGAGTAACAGCTTCATCTTCTTAAGGTTTGACAAGAATTCGTTGTGGTGGTTCAATGCTGATTTCTAGTGTTGCTTTACTTAATAAAATAAAATTACTTATTCAAGATTTTATTTAGTTTAAATTACTTGTTCAAGATTTTATGAAGTTTTTTATATATTTTTAAGAAGGTAAAATATTTTATTAATGATAAAAAACAAAAACTATACAAGTAAACCCCCTGTACAATATGCATTCTGTACAAAACACCGGGGCTGCAGGGCAGAACCACTAAGAGTTCAAAAAACAACTGAAATTCAGTAGATCAGTTCTACGAACATCCTTGAATAAAATATGATTTGTTGATTTGTCAGCCATGAATGCAATATGCAAATAACTCCACACAGGATTTCTCTTAGCGACAGTTTTTTGGGTACAAAAAGCTGAAGAAATGGGATTTAAAAAGCTGGTTCTTGAAGGGGATTCAAAGATAGTAATATGTGGTTGAAGAAAGGAGAGTGGGTGGTTTGGCAATATAGAAATAAATTCAGGTGATTCCAAAGGCTGTCAAGAAATATGAATACTATTTTAAGTTGGGTAAGGACGGCTAATGGATTAGCAGATGGTTTAGCTAAGCAAGGAGTTCATAAACAGAAAATGTATTGGGCTCAATTGTAATAGAGTGGGGATTTTTACATTGTAAAGGGTTGTCAAGTGCACAACATCTTATTGTATTTTTTCTACTTTATTTTATTAATAAAAACATTTCTGTGTTGCTGATCAGAAAAAAAGCTCCACACAGGAATATATCACAGCTTCTACAGGGTTGTTCTGTTCAAAATACAAGTATTCCTCTCCAATCATGCTGACCAAATAAATTTCTGTTATCCATACAAAAAAAAAATCAACCTTACCAAATAACAGCTTGAGGAATACAGCTCCACAGTACTTTTCCTTTCTTATTTAATCCCTTTAGATTCCAGCAGTCCAGTAACTCCACAACATACCATTGGGCTTTGAAGGCTTTGAGAAAATGATACCAGATGAGGGAGTTTTAATATTTATTCTAATTTCTACCTTTAGCTTTCAGTTGAGGGAGTGTAATGTTTGTTTTACTTAATAAAATATTTAATGAGTTATTTTTGTTTAGAACCAAACAAGTGTATTTGATGCAAGTCCATTGCTTCTTTTTCTTTCTTTTCAGTGATAAGCTTCTAAGATTGAAGTTTTGGTGGCAGTGATGGTGCATATCTCCAAATAGATACTAACCAAAGGACCACCTCTTAATTGGATCTAAAACAGTAACACTTGGATATCATGTAAGACTTTTTAAATAACTACAATTAATAAATGATAACTGAAAAGAAAATGCAACAAGAAAGTGGAACCATGGATTGTGTATTAGTCCTGTTGTTAGATGTAGTAAATCATTTTTAACCCACAGAAGCTGCTGGATGCGTTGGTCTTATTTTTTCTAAAGATCAAAAGAAGTATTCTTTAATAGAAATATCACTTTGATTATATATATATAGATAGATAGGAGGAAGCTTTATGGAAAAGGGTGGTGATAGCCAAATATAGTGAAGCTCCTTTTAGTGGTCTTTTAATCCAGTCAATTCCATGCATGGTGTCAATTTTCGAAGCTGATGATCCAAAATCCATTTTCATGAGGTTGATTATGTGACTTTAGGAAGTGTAGCTTTCTTTATCTAAGACTATGCCAAGTTTCTACCCAAGTCCGCAGGATTATTAATGAATTCTACCAAGACAATGATCTGGATTCTGATCTATTATAGATCTACCGACTACATTTTTTTATCAATAACAGTGTATTTTATTAATAATTTAGAAAAGCTGAATTACAAGGTAAGGAGCTAAAAAATCTAACTCCCAAATACCCTATAAACCCCAATTCATGAACAATTACAAAACAGCCCAAAACATAGAGTTTCTGTTCACCCCTTGCCTAGCTAGACCATGTACAATGGATTTCAATATCCTTGGTGAGCCACTTGAATTTCTTCTTTTCATTGCTGTATTTCCAGAGCATAGAACTGTCCTCTTTTAGCCAATTTACTACAATTTCAGAATCACTTTCTATGATCAACTTTTTAAAATTAATTTCCTTGGCCCTTTGTATCCCTTCAAGAGCTGCTAGGATCTCAGCCCTCAAGGAATCTCCCACCCCAATTGAGCCAGAATACATAGCTAACAGGTTCCCATTTTCATCTCTTATCACTCCCCCTATTCCGGAAGGCCCTGAATTACCCATGCTGCTGCCATCAAAATTCAGTTTGGTAAACCCATGAGGTGGAGGTGTCCAGCAGGAATTTGTGGACTTCTTGATTGAGCCTAACTCCGCAATCTCCTTCCACTTTCTGGCCATCTTATCAACTAAGAACACTGCAAACAATTCCAAGGTTTTTAACCAGTGAATCACCCTAATGTGGATAGTCTCCAGGATTACTTCCAAGCTTCTCTCCTTATTAGAAAATACCTTGAATTTCTCTCCTCCCAAATAGTCGAACACACTATAGCCCTACCACATCTCCACATGATCTTGGCCCTTTTGGTTGACCAGTTAGGCATGGAAGTAAATAAGCTTTGCACATCCAAAGGGGGAGTCCATCTGCATCCAAACAAAGAAGTAAACCATTCCCAAATGACTTTGACAAACTGGCAAGAAATTAATAAGTGATATCCGGACTCACCATCAGATTTACAAAGGACACACCGGTGAGGAGACAAACAACTATTAGGTCTTTTTCTTTGAAGTAGATCCCCTGTATTAACTCTTTCCAGAAAGGCTTCCCAACAGAAGCACCCAACCTTTGGAGGTATTGGTTGACACCACACTTCTTTAACAGGAAAGGACAGTCCAATAGGAGAAGGGGGTAAAAGGGCCTTGAAGAAAGAGGCACAGGTGTAGGAACCCGAGGAAGTGAGTGTCCATATTCTACTATCTGACTTCGATGGCTCAATGAAGACCCCTTCAAGAATGGATAATAAGGCTGAAATGTAGGCTAACTCTATGTCCCTGACATCTCTTCTCAAGTTCAAATTCCAACCGAACCCAGAAGGTGAATTAGAAGGAACAAGGAAGGAGGAAATTGGTTCATTTTTAAGGGTAGAAATAGCAAAGAGGCCTGGAAATTGATCTTTAAAAGAGGAGTCCCCAACCCACACATGTTCCCAAAATTTAATGAGGTTACCTGAGTGTAAGTCATACCTAACCCATGGATAGAACAAGGGCAAGATGGCTTGAGTAGCTTTCCAAGGAGAAGCTCTTGTAGTCCTTGCTAGGATCCTAGAGTCCCATCCATTGTCTGCCAACCCATGTATACTTCCCGCTATCTTAACCGACAGTCTTTCTTTCTCCAATGAGAATCTCCATAGCCATTTCTCTAACAATGCTAAGTTCCTAACCCTTATATTACCAATTCCCAAACCCCCATCCTTCTTACATCCACATACCACATTCCATCTGACCCTATGATCCTTCTTCTCCTCTCTCGACTCCCAAAGAAAGTCTCTCAGTAGGTTTTCCAGCCTACTAACCACCTTAGCCAGAATCTTAAAGAATGATAGGAAATAGATAGGAAGGTTGGCAAGAATAGACCTTATCGAAGTGGTCCTCCCACTGAGAAATAAATAATACTTCTTCCAATTGGCAAGTTTTCAAACCTCTCCACAACAGGGGCCCAAAATTCACCTTTCTGAGGATTGTCTCCCAGTGGTAAACCAAGGTAGTTTAAGGGCCAATTGGATACTACTCACCCCAGAATGTCTGTACACTCACAAACCTCCCCCTCGCCCATATTGACTCCAATTATACAACTCTTCTCAAAGTTTACTCTTAGGTTTGACATTTGCTCAAAAAGTTGTATAGTGAGCTTTAGGTTTCTAATCCTATTGATATCCCCTTCTTACAAAACAGAATTGTGTCATCTGCAAATTGTAGGTGTGTAAGTGGTATATTGTCTCTTCCAACTCTCCATTCTCTTATTAAATCCCTAGAGTCTGCTTTGGGAATCAATCTCCCCAACACTTCTGTAACCAAAGTAAACAAAAAAGGGGAGAGAGGGTCCCCTTGCCTAATCCCTCTCAAAGTTGGGAAATAGCCCACCACTGTCCCATTTACCAAAATAGAGTAATGACAATCCCTAATGCAACCCATCACCCAATTGCACCAAGTTTCTCCAAACCCAAAGTTCATCATCACCTCTAATAGTAAAGACCAATCAACCAAGTCAAAAGCCTTTTCCAAATCTAATTTACAGGCCACCCCACTTCTCCTGGATCTCTTGAAATCCTCTAAACTCATTCGCTACAAGAATCTGCTTTGTTATCTGCCTTCCCTTGACAAAGGCTCCTTGGTTATTTGCTATGATTCCTGGGAGCACCTTCCTAATTCTAAAGGACAACACCCTGGTAATGATCTTATAGAGGCTATTGACTAGACTGATCGGCTTGTAATCCTTTGGATGCCTTGCATCACTTTTCTTGGGTATCAAAGCAACGAAAGTAGAGCTTAGCCCAGGGTTAATTACTCCTCTGGTATGGAATTCATCAAACACCGGCATTAGATCATCTTTTAGTATCACCCAAAAATCCTGATAAAAAGCCATCATAAAACCATCTAGGCCCAGTGCCTTTGATCTATCCATTGAAAAAACTGCCTCTTTAACTTCTTCCAACTCAAACTTCTTTTCCAACCACTCCCTATCTTCTTTCCTCAAAGTTGGCCAATCCAAACCTTCCAGCCACACCTTGTTGTTTAGGGGCCTTCTGAATATATGCCTGAAATGATCTGCAAATGCTCTTGCAATTTCTCTTTGACCTGTAATTGTTGCCCCTCCAATCTCCAAACTGGAGATAAAATTTCTTCTCCTTCTACCATTTGCCAAAGCATGAAAGAACTTGTATTCCTGTCCCCCTCTTTCAACCATTTGCATATCGAATTCTGCCTCCAACTTATTTCCTCTTGAGAGATATGGTCCTCTAGTTGTTTGTGCAAATTCCATCTTTGTTCCCTTTCCTCACCTATTAGGCTGCCACTCCCTTCTTTGCTATCCAGATCTTCAATTTGTGTGATCACCCTATGCTTCCTTTCCTCCAGTCTCCCAAACTCTAATAGATTCCATTCTTTGATCTTTGCCTTTCGATATTGAAGTTTTTTGTGAAACCTCATCCCATTCCACTCCACTGCTGGATTGCTCTCTGCCCACCAATCTTCTACTTTCTTAATGAAACCCGGATGCTCTAACCACATGTTTTCAAATCTTAATGAAACCCGGATGCTCTGCCCACCATTTCTCATCTCCTTACAAAGTACGATAGGCCAATGATCAGAGATTACCCTTGGGAGTTCTCTAGAATTCAAATTTCCCCAATGTTCTTCCCAATCATTTGAAAACAGGAATTGGACAGAAGATCCTGAAGGAAATTTATTGCTAAGCTGATTCTTCAGACTTCAAGGTTGAAGATTTCTTCAGGTCTTGGGGTACAAAAGCTGATTCTTCCTCCAAAAGTGGTAGGTGGAAGGAAGCAATTGAGTTTTGATGGTAGATGTGTGGGCAATCCAGGCCCCTTGGGTATTGAAGGGGTAATTAGGGATGAGGGAGGACACATATCGGCTTTGTATTCAGGCTCAATCAAGCAAGGTGATGCAGTTAGATCACAATTATTGGTAGCAGTTTATGGGGTAGAGAAATTAGACAGCATGAGAGGGGACCTGAATGCTTCCTTTAATTGGATTCCTAGGACAGCTAATGGGATGGCCGACACTAGCAAAGCAAGGGGTTTTGAGGCGGCAGTTATTCTGGGCTCTATTGTAAATTAGTTTTTGGACATTTGTATTTCCGGGTGGATGGATCCCCAAGCTGTTGTAACTTTTACCTCCCATTAATAAATTAATCATTTTTGCTGATCAAAAAAAAAAATGAAAGACTGGTCATTGAAGGCAACTCGGAAGCAGTTGTGGGTTGGCTGAAAAAGGGGGAGGGGGTAACTTCACAATTAAGAAATGGATTCCGATATTTCCAATTGTTGCCAAAAGATATGGTGATCCAAATAAATTGGGTTAGGACGAACAATCTAGCTTATGGTTTAGCTAAGCAAGAGGTTCAGAGACAATCTATGTTTTGGCCTTTTGGGCTCAATTGTAATGCCTGGGTTGGATTAGTTTCCTTTGGTTTCTTGTTTCTTTACAGAACTTCTTGTTATACTTCCTTTTTCTAATATTAATGAATTAATTTCTGAGTTTCTGATAAAAAGGAGGCACAAATAAGTGCAAACAGAGAGATGGATTGAAGGAAACAAGACAATATACATAAGAGGTCTTGGGTTCAAGTATTATCATCATCATTTTGAAGTTTTTATTCATGTTATGGCCCAGGCGGTTTCATAAAACCAGAAACAGTTAACCGGTTTTCGGTTAAACCAGACGGTCAGCCGATTTTCAGGGTATGACCGAACTGGCCAGGGGCTACGTCGGGTTCAATTGGTCCGACTGGCCAATCGGGTCCAGTTTTCTAAACAATGATTCTTATCATTAATGGGATGTAAGTACTCTATTTGCAATAGGATCTGTTTGTTCCATGGGAAAACATTGCAAGAAATATTTTTTGGAGTTTTAAAATTCTCCCGACATTTTGTTTAACAGGGAATTTAAGTTCCTAGGATATTTATATAAAACAATTCCTGAAAAATATTTTTGTTAGAGTTGAGAAAAACCTAGAAAACTTGAATTTTTAGTGGATGGTTGTTTCCCATATAAATGAGTAGCACTTCTCTATTTGAAAGTTGAGTCTTTTGACCAATGAGTGATCTCTACTCTCTCCCTCCACTCTACCAAGTTGGATGTTTGGGTGGGTCCCATGATCCTTTTGCTTTATTAGATCTACTTTGAAAGTTTTGCCTCGGAGGAACCTTTATTTTATTGTGTTGTTCCAAATAATGAGAAAAACAAATTAAAAGTAGTCTGGTGTACGAGGCTCCTGCCAATGTGGGGTCTGGGGAGGGAAAGATGTACGGAGCCTTAGCCCTGCAGATACACAGAGGCTATTTGGTCACCCAGGTCGCAGTGGAGCAAACCAACCGTTGTGTGAAGGAGCAACGCTCAATGTTTTAAAGCTGTTGTTGACTCGGATGATTGAACCACTCAACCCAGGAACCGGTCCCTATTCCGGTTCCATAGCCTATGAGCTATAACCCATTATTTCTTAAAAAAAATGTTGAAAAATTAAAACCATTCGACCCAGAAAATGGTTCATGGATTGATGCTAAAAATGAAAATTAATCAGAGGACAAAACAAAACTGGTCACCACTTGTATCATCCTGCCTTCGATTATTCAATCTTCTTAATCGTTCTCAGTTTGTCGTTCCTTTGGCTCCTACAAAATAGTCTTGGATTTCTCAAGCAAGGTTATTTTGTAGGGATTTTGTTCTCAATTTGTTATTTATCAGAAAATATAGTGCTTTACCTTTGATCAACAGTGAGGGCATTTTCTTTGTATTTACTTATTTATTTTCTGCATTTCTTTCCTGGATTCTTTTCTTATTTGCAATTTTGCAATTTAACTATTTTTTTTATAATTTTAAATATTATTATTATCTATATTTCATTATTTATGATGTCATAGGTCAAATCGCTGACCCAGAAACTGGAGGCCAAAGTGGTTCGGTTTCTGGTTCGGTTTTTAAAACCTTGATTTCATGACATTCCACGCAACTTATAGTTCTCTTTTTTCTGTCCCCAGGCAAGCCAGTTCCCATTAGGATATGATGAAAATTTGAAGCTACGCTAGCAGGTTGAGACATTTTTCATTTTGAGAAGAGACAATGATCAAAGAGAAAATTCCTGGCGTGTAGTCTTGAATTTTAACTATACTTTTTTTTTCTGAATTTTGTCCTGTATGTATTAACCTGATGGACGAACCTAATTGTCGAAATTTCAGAATCGGTTGGGCATGAGTTGGGATGATCTCTACTGGTGTATTATGGTCTTACTAGTTTATTAATTTTAGTCTTACTAGTCAACAAATTTGATCCCCATTAATCCTTGAACAAGTATTATGATAAAACTGTCTACTGGTTTTGGAATCAGAATTAACCTTAATTTTTAGAAGGTAAAGTTTGAAAAAAAAAAGAAAAGGAAAGGAATTACGTTTGAAGGTTGTAAAACTGCTTTCAGATTAGGAAGTTCAATACAATTACAGTCGCCTTAGACCCTTACTACAGAATTGAAAGCAATTATTTCTATTTCAATTGCCCTATATGGTTTGACTTGTGGGGAGTTGCTACTCCCTGGCTTTTGTTGCATTTTCTAGTTTTATCAAGAAAAAAAAAAGAAGGAAATTATTTCTATTTTAGTAGGGTTTCTAATATGCAGTTTCGATGGTCATTAACGTTTACATGACAATGGTTATAATCTAAACATGTACACTTGGAGGGTTAATACTGGAGCATTTTTTGGTTGTTACGTGTAGATTTCAAGGTTGTGTCCCCTCAATCTTTACTCCACGGGTATGGTCAATATCATCATTGTCACCCTTATAATCATCATCATTATCATCATTTTAGCATTATCAATTATGCATCATAGACTCTGTTATGTGCTTGACTAAATACAGCAAAAGCCGTGACGGGATCTGCTCCCCACTAATGGGCGCCTCACAAGCATATCCACCGTGCATTGGGAACATTTCCCATAAATAATAACTAATAAGTATGGGGGAAATGTTTTCAATGCATGATCGGATGTCCGTGTGAGGCGCCTGTGAGGTGCACAGTGTGAGGAGCAGATCCGGTCTTCCAAAAGCCTTGAGACTGATGGAATGCGTTAAATCAAACACTTTAACCATTTAGGATCATAACATACCCTCACACTTTTGTAACCGACATCTTGGCAATTTTACTCAAAGTTCAAAATATCATTACGTAACGACCAATACGTATCGTATCGGGGCCTTTCCAATATGATGCCCCTACAGGGGGTATATCGGGTTAGGCCATGGTTCAGAGGGTAGCTTGGATTTAAATCGACCCTTTTGAACTGGTTTTGAAAAAAAATATAAATAAAACACAAAAAAAAGCATTGATATTGGCCGATATAGTTCTTTCCATGACAACTTTCACTCTACTCTATGTAGACCTTCTCCTAGGTAGCCCTTTTTTGTGATTCGAATTTGAAACATGATAGTAGGCTTTGATACCAAATGTTGTGTGTTTGATTAATACACCAAAAGCCTCAAGATTGATAGAATGCGTTAAGCCAAGCACTCTAAACATTTAGAACCATAACATCATCTACTTGTCCATGAATAGTCCTTTTTCTTCCCTATCATCCAATTTCAAACTCTTGAAATCTCTTGGAGACTTTCATTCAAGTTTCAAAGTATCGACACTTATCAGCCTGTACCGGTCGATATATATCGTTCTGGGACCCCTCCGATACGCCCTTACAATGGGTGTATCAAGGGTCTGACCAGTTTAGGGGGTGGAGAAGCCCTAAACCGCCCCCTTGAACCAGTTGCGGAAAAAAATAAAAAAAAAAGGCACAAAATGCAATATCGCTTCGCCTGATTCACCTCTACCAACATATCGGGCATATCAATATTTTGAACCTTGCTTTCATTGTCACCTTGGTGAGTCTTTTTTTTCTTTTAAAAAATGAACCAGGGGAGGTTGGACACAACTACCTCCAAGTGAATTTATACAATAGAGCAATCACTATAATTCATGTCTAAAAATTCTTGTGAATAATAATTATGATATAGAGGATGATGGCCTTTGGTGTCGATCTTTAGGACGTGAACTGTTTCCAATTTCTCAGCTGTTTAAGTCCCCTATTCTTTTTTTGACTTGCAGGCTTTCTTCTTCCCCCATTATCCAATCTTGGTTTAGATCTTTCTTTTCCACAATGGTGGATAAGTGGATTCCCTTTCTTGCCTTTCCCCACACTGAGTTTCTATCTCCATGGAATTGGCTTCAATTTCTTGGTTCTGAGCTTGCATCACCACAATGGTTGCTTCTACTTCACTACTTACAGGTTTTTTTTACCAACATGGCAGATATTACCCCAAGTTAATATTAGGGGTGCGGTTCAGTTAACCGAACTGTGGGCTAATTTTTTAAAACGAATTGAGGTCATCAGTTTTTGGAAAAGTAGTAACCAAAACTGAATCGAAGCCAATCGGCTAATTGGTTGACCGGTTCGGTTAACCATCGGCTCGGTTCATTGATTTTTCAGTTTTTATTATTTATAATATTTACTATAGAAAAATATAATAAAATGCTAGAAATATATATAATATTATATTTTAAATAATAAATAATATATTATATATTATAAATATATATAATACATATTTATTAATTTATAATGTATAGAAAATATAAAATATTATAATATAAACATACATAAAATATATATAAATATATGTATACCAATCGGCTTGATTAACTACCGGTTTTCTATTTTGATTAACTGAAATCAAACCGATACCTTCGATTTTTTTTAAAATATTGATATGAAACCGAACCAACCAATTTTGATTAACCGAATTTTCATTTCTGTTTTGGTTGATTTTTCCGGTCGGTTCAGTTTTTTGGGTTTTTTTTTTTTTTTTTTGCTCACCCCTAGTTAATGTCTTGTGAGATCTTGCTAACCCTCTTCCATTCCTTTGCATTTCAACCTTTCCACCTTCAAGTGTTAATTATCGTCTCAGCTCCCCTACGTTAGCTATGTCATCTCAGATTGTATCCATATCATTGGACTATCCGGCCACCACACCATCCACCTGAATTGAGTTTGATCCATCCCCGTCATCATTGGTACGAGTGTCACCTGGTCCAGTTTCTCATATAACCTAAACCTTGATCTAACTTTCTTTGATCATCAACCAATTGTCCCAACTCCCATCAATTGTACATTGCAATATCATCTCCATTGTCAACTTGTTCCACTTCATCATGGTCTAAAATTGTTTCCACAACGGTTTTACCGCCAAACCACTTCAAAATGCAGCTTCAACCTTCATTTCCCCTTCTACAACCAGAACCAGAGGAACTGATTGAGAATTGCTGATAGCAGAAACTGGACCAAAAATCTTCCCCCTCTGTTTGTTGTCTCCTTTCGCTGAGATATCCACTTGGGTTTATCTCTATGTCATGTTTGTTTTCGGCCGACTGTTGGTTGGCTTTCGTATGTTTGCAGGTTCCTAAATTGTGGTCAAGGTTGTAATAGTAAGTGCAATATTCCAGCATCTGCTCACATACAATAACCCTCTCTACCATTAGAGATCCACCCCTGGCTGGTTGTTCGTGGAGGTTTTGTTTGACACAAACACAGGCGACATTAGTTATTAGATAGCGTATAGCCGCTAGATCGAACGTAAGAAAAGGAGTGATTGCTTGTGCTGTTGATCTCAACAAACCTTAGGTTTAAAAATTGACCAGCAAGAACGGAAAGTTGATGTATATAGACTATAGAGGGTTTAAACAACTGAAATAAAAAGTGATCAATATTGAAAGCTTCACGAAGATTAGTCTCACGAAAATCTGATCATAGTTTTTTTTTTTTTGTTTTTTTTGGGTTTTATTCAAGCAAGGTCACCCAAATATTTTGTAAGGTCAAGGCATTATTCGTTTTCCAAAGTCACTTGCCCGGGTAAGTATACTTACTGAGTTTCAATTTGATCATGTTCACATCGTCCTCACAGCTTATTCAAGCTTGCATTGGGAATATCTCTCCACAAATTGGGATATTCTCAATGCACAACTGCGATAGGCTGTGAGAACAGTGTGCGCACCATTTTGTGAGGGCCAAACCTGATTACCAAGGTAAATGTTTCCTGTGACCCAGGTAAGTTTAATAATGACTTTTTTTTACTCATAAAAAGATAATATTAGAATGGACAAACTTGTCCTATTATGTTTTACAATTCCTTCCCTCAGGTGAAAAATTACTTACCCACTTAGGAGATGGGTATCACTTATCTGTGATACCCAGGAAAATTAACTTTACCATAGGGCCTAGAATTTTCTAAAAAGAACATTAGACTTGGCAAAAAGTTGACCCAACCCAACCCAACCCGAAAAAACAGGGTTAGGGTTTCATATATTTGCTACCCGATTATGAAAATGACCCAACCCGACCCGACCCGACCAAAAAAACTGGGTTGGATTGGGTCGGGTCATGGGTCAACCCGCTGACCCGATTGTCAAGTCTAATTAGGATTGTTTATGCATTGTTAGAAGTTTCCATTCTTTAATTTTTTCTATTCAGTCTTTACTTTTTATTGTTTACTCTTTAAATTGTTAAATATTAAAGTTTTTTATTTTATATTTGAAATTTTAAGGTCAATTCTTTTAGTTTTGATATTTTTCATTTAATTTTTTTTTAATTTCAATTATTTTTTGGGATGACCTGAATTGACCCATGGGTTAACCCTAATTCGAATATTTAGGTTTAGGGTCTAGCATTTGACAAATCAACCCGACCCGAAATCAACCTGAAGTACTTTGACCCAACCCGAACCCGAACCCGACCCACCCAACCCAATTGCCAGGTCTAAAGAATATTATAAAGTTGGTCAATGAAAGTCAACTTTCCCTCCTCCTATTTGCCCCAAGAACCATTGGGGCCTAAAGGATTGAACCGTGGGAGAATCCAATGAAAAAATGCATAAGACTTTTAGTAAGACCTCATCCGGGAAGGCGGGAAATAGGTTGCCGGCAGTGATTCACCTTGTTTAAGGGAATCAACGCAAGAAATATAAAAAAAAATGGAGTGAGATAGGAGAGAATCGCCTAACTACCACTGCAAATGATTGTTTGGTCAAAGGATGATCTATCATTTTATATTAGGATCCATGAGAGCTGAAGTCCATCGGTAGGATTTCAATTTCCTAACTGTATTTCTGAATACAATCTCCTAGTCTTAATTAACTATAATAGTTTCAATCAAGGTTCAAAATTTTGCAACATATTGGCCCGTATCAGTCGATACGTATCATATCTTTA